CCAAATGGCCAGAGTCACCTCGGGCAGCCCTGGGATTCAAAACCAGGTCCTACGAGTCCAAATTCTGCCCTCTATCCATTGTACCATGCCCTCAGATCTATACTAACTCTGTAGGACCTTGAGCAAACAGTTTCCCTTCTCTGGGCCTCAGTCTCCTTTTCTCTGTAAAATGAGGGTGTTGGCTTGGGTGATCTCAAGAGGCCCTTCCAGGTCTAGGTCTGTGATCCTAGGTCCCAGGCCTCAATACACGCTGCTCTCTGTGTGTGACCAAACCTGCTGCTGTGTCTCTTTAAAGATGAAGAACCCAGAAAGCTTTCTTCTCTCTTTTTTTCTCCTGGAAGGTCTGCCAACCAGCAGGCCAGGCCCACCATGTGGCATGTACCACAGCATGCCCTTCCCCTTCCCCCCTGCCTTGATAAAGGAATGTCTCTGGCACACTTCAAAGGGCCTTGGAATTTTCCAGCTTTTATAAAGAGAAAAACTTTGTGAACAAATAGATATTCAAGTCCCCCGGTGACTCATTCAAAGCCAGAGTCATAATTCTTCCATTCTCTGACTTTGTTTTTCTCCCCCCACACATGGTTGGTCTTTGGCTCAGGGTGTTTTTTCTCAAAGGGGAGATCACACAGGAACTGAAAAATCCTGAGTTGTTTAGGCAAAAAAAAAAAAAGAAAAGAAAAGAAAAGAAAGGTTCCCTTCTCTAGTGGAGGGTAAGAAGAGTCTATAGCATATTTGAATGGAAATGTGTGTTTATAGCAGTTGTAACTAAGGTGGGACAATCAAGGCTTTTCCCCAGGGTGCCAACCTGAAGGAGTACTTCCCTCCATCATGGTCTAGAGATCAATCTCTCTCTGCCTCCTGGTCCTATGCTGGAATGCCCTAAGCAGGGCACCACCACCCAGGCTGAAATAGCTAAAGTTTTCTGGAGGAGCAAGCTTTCCTCTCAAAAATCCCTACTCCCAGTACAATTACCTCTGGAATCTGATTGTCTTCTGACACACTGGTCCCTCAATATGAGTGTTTTTTTTTTCTTCCTGGTTGGGATATGCTGCTTTCAGCCTTAGGACACACAATTCTCTCTGAGCAGAATGTCCCAAAGAAGGTCTGTCCCTATTCTCCCCACCCTCAAACATCCAATCACAGCCACCAGGCTGGGGACAAGTCCCCACGTCTATTTCTCTCCTTCCCTGACCCCCTCACTCTCGTCAGCTACAAAACCTTCCCAACCCGATTTCACACTGCTCTTCTCCCCACACCACAAGAACCAGCCAAATGACCTATTGGCTATTGCCAGAATTCCAGCCTCTGGGACTTTGCTTATGACCACAAGGTACACCCTCCTGACCTCCACCTCCTAATATCAGCAGCTATGTTCAAACCTTAGCCCTGGAGAAAGACCTTTCCACATCCCTCTGGCAGTTAACTTTGATTCTTTCCTCAAATTATCTTGGGTTTACTTGTCAATTCACTGCTACATCACCCAGGAGAATGCAAACTCCTTAAGAGCAGGGACTTTTTTTTCTTTGTACCTCAGCACCTTACCCACAGCTTTTACACCCACCAGGCACTTAATAAACATTTAAACATCAAACTTAGCCTCCACCAATGTACAAAATGGCGGCTACCATTCTCCTTTACTGCCTTCTTAGAATATTGAAGTAACCTTGGATTCTTAAAGGCTTTGCCACCATAGTTCAGTCACTTAAAGGCCTTTCCACTCTGGAAGGCTCAGTGGTACCCTGGGTGTCTAGTGTCCAAGACCAGCTTACTTATGTTGAGAGAGACTCATCACCAAAAGGTTGGCTACTGGGTGACAAATTTGGCTCCAAGAAATCAAGGACTAAGGCATGGAAGATTTTTCATCTGTTTGAAGAGAGGGAATGTACATGCCAAGGAAAAACATATTTGCACATATACACACATACACATACACATATGTACACATTTACATGTGTATATACATGTGTGTTATATGTATATATATAAATATATAAGTATATCTATGTATTTTTCAAATAAATTCAATATATCTATAGACAGATATATCTATGAACACTATAGATATAGATTAGATATAGACATAGAAGATATAGATGTATGATATGGATATAAGTATGGGTATAAATATAGATAAAACAGATCCTTACTGTATTCAGGTACGTGTAGACATGAAAGGGATTAGGAAGGTTGGATAAGGCCCAGTTCATTCATTCAGTCCATTCAACAAGCATTTATTAAACACTTTCAGTGTTCCAGGCTCATGCTAAGTGCTAGAAAAAAAAATGGTAAAGCCTGTCTGCCTTTAAGGAGCTTACATTCTATGGGAGAGAAACAATATAAACACCAATAAAGCAGTATCATTGTTTTTTAGTGAGACAGTAAGGTTAAGTGACTTGCCCAGGGTCATACAAGTAGTGAGTGTCTGAGGCCAGATTTGAACTCTTCCTGACTTCAGGCCCGGCGCTCTATCCACTGCACCACTGTGCCACCAAATAGCATGAGACAGGGCCTCTAAAGTGAGGGAAGCACCATTCTGGGGAGATAATAAGAAGGCAAGTCAGACCGAGGGTTTTGGGGAAGCCAAGAGTACCAGTCCCCCAGCAGGGCTTTCCTGCCCTCAGGGGCCCATGCCTATGAACAGCAGATGAACTTAAGGCTTCAAAGCCTCCCTCTAGGAAAAGATCAGCTCTCTGTCCTCCGTGTCACCATGCTGAGCTCTGAGAGGCCACAGAAAGACTGATGGGTTTGGAGTCAAATACGACTCTGCCATCTGCTACCTGGGAGACCCTGGGCAAGCTCCTGGGGCCCTGTCTGGATCTCAGCTTCCTCCTTCATCAGATTAGAGGGCTGGGCTAGATGGCTTCTGAGGTCCCTTCCCACAATCCAGAGCTGTGGTCTTGTGAGTCTAACTGTGTGACCTTGGACAAGTCACTTGAGTCAATCTCAGGGCCTTGATTTTCTCTTCTAAAAAACTGAAGGAGGTGGGGGAGGAGGAGGAGTGGATGGTTTCTGCAAATCTCTCCAGCTCTGCATCAATGATCCTAGATCCACTGTGGGAGATGCCTCCCCTCCCCCAGCAGCCCTCAGCAGAGACCATCCATCATCAGCCAGCCTGCTCCTAGGAACATTTTGTCTGAAGCCAGACTAGCTGCCTTCCTTTCACACTCTGGTCCCTGCCAGCTCTGGGAACCCTCTGCTTCGCAGCTGGGGGCTAGGAGCTCAGCCTGGCTAAATCAGCAGTCCCTTCAGGTGGTCAATTCCACACCTCTGACTCATAAATTTCATTTGACCAAAAGCCTACTTTTGGCTGCCTTCCTCCAAGTTTATTTACAGAAACAACTTCTCCATATGTATTTTTTTCTCACTTCTCGCCCCCCACCCCCGAACAAGTTTCACCATGGAGCCCTGGGCAACATGACCTTCAAGTTCCTTCATTTGTGAAGCCAAGTGCCAGATGGTTTTCTGGACAGTCACGTTTCCTAAACAGGCATGCAAGGAGAGATGGGGGAGGTGAGAGAAAGTCTCTGCTCCCTTTGAGTCAAATCCAAGGAGAAAAAATACACAGAGACTCTCAATTATTCTAGGATTAGCTAACTAGTCAGGAAGTCAGAAGCAATGATCCACCTCCCTCTGGGTGTGGAAACCCCAGTGGTGACAAAGATACAAGATACAATATGGTCCTTGTCTTAGAAAACCTTGCCCTCTTGCTGGTTACTGCTGATGCTAGCAAGCTCACTGGAGACTCTACCAGAGAATGGGAATGGAAGGACAAGTTTGGAATGCCAGAGCTGGGATGGCCTGAGAACACAAAATATCTGAGACCGGAGGGATATTAGAATGAGGGATATCAGAACAGAGGGACTTTAGGATGGAAAATGTCAGAGACCAGAGAGAATTTAGAGCACAAAATGTCAGTGACTGGAGGGAGCTTAGGACGTGAAATGGCTGAGCTGGGTGGGGCTTTAGAATATGAAACAGCAGAGCTGGGGGGAACGTTAGAATATGTCACATTAGATAGAACTGGAATTAGATAGAATTAGAACACTAGAGCTCAAAGGGACTTGGGACATAGAATGTAAGAACTGGGAGGAACCTTAGAACAAGGAAGGTTAGAATATTGAATGTTATGAGTCAAAGGGCCCTTGGAATATCAGAATGAGAAAAATGGAAGAAAAAGTATTTTAGCATTTGAAGGCAGCAGGGGTCACTTAATCTAATCCCAGCATGTTGAAGGTGAGAAATCTGAGGCCCAGAAGAGTTAGGTCATTTGTCCAACATCACCTGAAAAGGAAAAACTAGAACCCAGGTCTCTGCTCCAGTCCCTCCAGGACTCTTTCCATCATGCTGCCTTGTAAATAAAAGTAAATAAAAGCCAAACTAGGTCATTTTGCTCCTCTGTAGGTTAATCTTCCCAAAAATTTGGAGCAGGTTGATTAACGTAGTGTTCCTAGAAGTTTAATCACCAAAACGTATAAAGCACCTACTCTGTGCTACGCTGTGCCAGGCATTGGGAGAGGGGAAATAAGCATAAACAAATGAGGCCTGGCCCCTACTCTTATGGAATTTGCTGCCTAGTAGAGAGGATGATCCATTTGCAGAGATAAGTAGAACACAGATTCAGAGATGATGAGATTACAATATCAAGTGGAAGGGGTGAGTTTGGTAATCCAGTGAAGGAAGTCATGGAAACTTTCATGGAGGTGGCGTTTGAAGGCTGAAGCACAAACAATGATGGTGGGAGGATTATATTAGGGCAGCAGAGCTTAGTTAAGTTTGATCAGAGCATAACAAGTATGAAGGAGAGTAATGGAAAGGAAAATGAATACCCAAGTGCAGAGGGCCTTAAATGCCAAGACCAAACCAAAGATTTCTGCTTTTAGCCTGTAGCCAATGGAACAACGTCAAAGGGTCTTGAAGGACCATCCTAATGACAGTGTGGGGAAGCAGGGAAAGTGAGGGGAAAAGGAATGCTATTAAAGGAGACCTTCTTTATCAAACAGAGGAGAGGAAAGGCAAGAGAAGAGTCCGCACCACGTTCACCACGGAGCAGCTCCAGGAGCTGGAGAGGACTTTCCAGTTCACCCACTACCCAGACATCCACGTCCGCAATCAACTGGCGGCCAAGATCAACCTTCCAGAGGCCAGAATACAGGTGAGTGCCACATCTGCCCCCACACCCAAATTTCAAAGGTGCTTGGACTACTTCTGAGGGCATTTGGCCAATGTTTCAGGGCCTCAGTTTCCTCCTCTGTAAGATGAGGGGATTGAATAATATGGCCTCTGAGGTCCTTGCTGGTTCTAGATCTATGATCCCATGACCCAGATTTGAACCCTGGCTCTGCCAAGTATACCTGGGAACCTTGGAGAAAGCACTTAACTTCTTTGGGCCTCAGTTTTCTCATCTGTAAAATGAGAGGGTTGAAGGCTATGGCAGTGGTAAGCCTTGGGGGCAAACTCATACGGAAGTCCCCTGATCCCTAAGGCCATATTCTTCCATGGTAGCATAGAGCTTGCACAAGATCACGTCTCCAGGTTTGTTCTTTCCATCACACGTGCTCTGTCTCTGGAAGATCAGTCCATTGTCCATGCTTCCTACTAGGCTAAGCTGCCATCATCCTGATCACACTCCCAGTACTAACGCAACACGAGTTTTCCAGAAAAACCCAAGGTCAAACCCAAGCTTCCTACTCATACTCTCTCAGCCAAGAACATAGATCAGAGGATTAAGCTAGAAGGTGTCCTAGAGGTCAGCTAGTCCAACCCCTTCATTTTCCAAAAGAGGACCAGACTCAAGGAAAGGAAGTGATTTGGTTAAGGTCCCATAGAAATCCCACCCAGAGGTGAGACTTGAAGCCGGGGCTTCTTCCACAGCTTCCTGAGATAAAACAGTTGCTGTTTTTCATAGCATCACAGGATTCAGAGTTGGGAGGGAACTCAGACGCCAGCTACTCCAAACCACATCTGAAAAAAAGATTCCCTCTACAACGGTCCCAACAAATGGTCATTGTATCTGGGCTTAATCACCTGCGGCGATGGATGACCCACTCCCTCCTGAGGCAGCTTGCACAAATAAGACGGTGTTCTGCCCTTTTCAGATCTCATCTGGAGCTTTGTGTTGGTTTGGGAAGGATGTTGATAAGGTGGAGAGCATTCAAAGGGGTATGATTGGAAGAGGGGGGATGAAAGACCTTGACTTTATGCCACAAGAAGCTCAGTTGGGAGAAGCAGGGATGTTAAGCCACAATGTGGGAATAACAATAATTGTGCCATGTACCTCACAGAGTGGTTTGAGGATCCAGTGAGATAATGTACGTAAAGTGTTCTGGAGCCATAAGATGATGTCTGAATGCCAGTCGGCAAGAGAGTGATGAAGGTTTTATTCTATCCCCTTTCTCTTATTGTCTCTCTCCTGTCCTCATTCCCCCTAGATCTGGTTCCAGAATCAGCGGGCCAAGTGGAGGAAACATGAAAAACTTAGCAGTTTCAGGAACCTTCAGACCCTGACAGATACGGATGTCATCCCAGCACCAAAGTCGGACATGTCTGTGAGTGGCAGATGGGGCCCGGACAGGAATGACAGTGAAGAGGATGAGGGGCTCCGAGATGGGAAGGCTGACCTACTTGGAAGCACCTCCCCCCATCCCAGGGTGAAAATGAGGCATTGTGGCATGGCATGGTGACAACATCCAAGCAAGTTATCAGGAGCCTGGAGCTCTATTCTTAGCTTCAGTGCTAGTGACATCACCATGGGCAAATCCTGTTCTTCTCATACCTAAAATAGGGGTGGGAGAGGCTGGACAGACCACAGCAAATCAATCAACCAATGAGACTTTCCAGATTCCCCCAGTTGTTAGTAGCCACTCATCCCACCATCACTATTTATTTTGTTTTTTATTTATCTGTCTAATTTGTTTTTATTTATTTATGCTTTACCCCCACCCAGTAGAAACCTCCCACCTTTGACATTTTCTGTTCTAAGGTTCTTACCTAATCTGACATTCCCCTTTCTAAGGCTCTTCCCAGTTCTAACAGTCTGTTCTAAGAAACCTCCCACCTCTGGCATTATCTGTTCTAAGGTCCTTCCTAGTTCTGACCATGTTCTAAAGCCCCTCTCAACGCTGACAGCTGTTCTAATGTCCTTCCCAATTCTGACATTCCATGTCCTAAGACCCCTTCCAGTTCCAGTATTCTCTAAAACCCTTCTCAGCTCTGATATTCCATGTTCTAAGGTCCCTGCAGTTCCCAAATTTTCTGTCTTAAGGGCCCTTTCAGCTCTGACCTTTTCTGTCCTAAGGTCTCATCCCCCTCTCCCACTCCTTCTGTTTTCCCCCCAGCCCCTCTTCTCAACAGCTTCAGATCTACTTTAACCCCTCCTTTCAACCCAAGTCAAGTACATCCCCAGATTTTTTTCCTAAGCCACCCCTTCTTGTCCATGGCCCAGCCTTACTTTGACTCTTGTCAGTCTGTCTAATCTGCCCTCCTCCCCTCCTTCATCCCTTTGATGTCCGTGAGGAGTCCTCCAAGGCCTCACTGGGAAGCCTGCCTTAGTCAAGAAGTCTGTATACCTGCGCTCTAGCAATGGCCCCATTACTAAACACCTACCTAACTTTAGTCATCTCACTGATCAATGTCTCAGTTTCCATCACCTGTCAAATGGGAAGGGGGTACCAATCATAGATTCATAGATTGTTAGAGCTCAGCAGAACCTTAGAGTTCATTTTTAAAATCCTTCTTTTTAAAATGGGAAAATCAAGACCCAGAGCCATTGAGAAATTTCACACCCCTCATGAATGGCCAAGCTGGGAAGCAAACCCAAGAATCCAGATGCCTGGTCCTGGGGTCTGTCTCCCTACCTCAGGGACAGTTGTGAGATCAAATGGAAAAAGCAACATCAAAGTGCTTCAAAAAGTTAGAGAATCTCTATGCACATAAAGGATTGGCATTAATGCTACCCCTTTGCCCCACATCAAAGCCATCGCCTGTATTTTGATCCAAAGGGCATTCCTATGGTTCACAGGTCCAGAAAGAACGGAGCTTCTCCCTGGCCCCCTGGCTCTTCACCACCTTTCTACTGGTCGCAGTTTAAGTCCAATAATCAGCTAATGTCCATTAATGATCCGTAAATGAATAGGCTGAGTCCACAATGACACCATAGACCTTGACCTAATGGTTTCTTAATATAATTTGTTCTCATTAGGGATGCAGCACAGCAGAAGAATGGTCTTTTATAAGACTCCCCGAAATTATCCTGAGAGACAGAAAGAAAATTGAAGTTTCCCAGACTCAACCAATTCTCTTTTGATGCGCTAAGCACCCCAATTAAAAAAGAAGTAGTGGGAAGGTGGAAAAATAGACTGATTTGGGGTCCATTTGGCATTGGGGCCACATTGAACCTTTCTGAGCCTCATTTTCCATATCTGTAAAAATGAGGGAATTGAACTACATGGTCAAGGGTGTCCTTTCCAGCTCTAAACCTAAGATCCTAAGATCCTAACAAAAAAAAGTGTCCATTAAAGTAAAAATCCCCTTCTCTCTGACACACCATTTAATTAACCTTAGAGCCTCTAATAAATAGGACAGTCTTCAGCTAAATAAGCTTATCATTACATTCAGTTCATTATATTTCAAATCAAAAAATATTTTATTGTTGCCTGCTAAGAGGAGAAGGGGGAGGGATATTCAAGGTACCCCCACATTAAGGACTCGGGACAAGGGACCAGTGAAGGAAACAGAATGGGAGCTCCTGGAAAGTCAGGGGAAGAAACAGGGGAGTGAGCTGTCTGTGAAATGGAGGGAGTTGCTTATAGGAAGCAAACTAAAGGATGCAGACCCGATTCCCCCCCCCCTCAAAAAAAGGCCGTTGAATTTAAAGACTGGCAGGGGCAAAAGCCTTGTTGGAGAGGATTAATGACCACACGTAAGAAAGGAAATACAGCTATTGCAGGTTGTCAAAGCCAGTACAAATGAGCATTCTCCCACATGCAACTAACCCTTACATGCTAATAGTTCCCAGAGAAGACAGCAGCATTCAGTTAAATGAACACATTGTGTTGTTGTAGACAAAAACTGCCAAAAGAGCTACAATCTACTAATTTGCTGCTGCTGCTACTATCACTATTACTACTACTACTACTACTACTACTACTACTACTTACTACTACTATTACTATTATTATTACTACTGCTACTACTACTATTACTATTATTATTACTACTACTACTACTATTACCATTATTATTACTACTACTGCTACCACTGCTGCTACTACTACTATTGCTATTTTTTTTATTAAAGGGGCCATCCCTTGACTCACTTCTTAAAGAGGCCTATTCAGTGAATGGACTTTGCCTCACTCAAAGTGAGAAACTGAAAAGACCTTAGCTTAAAAGGGCCAACATCTCCCACTGCATCCTGACCCTTCTCCAGTCGTCCTGATAAATATCTGGCCACTGGACCCAGATGGCTCTGGAAAAGAAAGTGAGGGGCAGCTAGGCGGCACAGTGGATAGAGCACCGGCCCTGAAGTAAGGAGGACCTGAGTTCAAATCCAGCCTCAGACCAAACACTTGACACACTTACTAGCTGTGTGACCCTGGGCAAGTCACTTAACCCCAATTGCCTAAAAAAAAAAAAAGAAAGAAAAAAAAAAGAAAGTGAGGCTGGTGACCTTGCACAGTCCTCCCTCACTCAAATTAAAATCATGTTATCATCTCCCCGATGTCATGGTCCTCATCAAGAATGAAGGACAAACACAACAACAACGAAAACAACTGCCACTACTACCATTACTCCCTCTGCTACTACTATTACTCCCCTACTACTACTACTACTACTACTACTACTACCACTACCACTACTACTACTATTACTACTATATCACTACTACTACTACTACTACTACTACCATTACTACCACTGCCACTACTAATACTACTACCACCACCACCACTAATAAGAATAATAAGTAATAATGATAATAGCTAGCATTTATATAGTACCTACTATGTGCCAGGCACTGGGCTAAATGCTTTACAAATATTACCTCATTTGATCCCCATTTTATAGATGAGGAAACTGAAGCAAATAGAGGTTTAATGGCTTGCCCAGGATCACACAGCTAATAAATGCCTGAGGCTGGATTTGATCTCAGGTCTTCCTGATTCTAGGCCCAGTGCTCTCCCCACTATGCCACTATTCAATAATGACATTAGACTTAAAGACAGAAGACCCTGGTGTTGGGATTCCAGCTCTAATGCTTATGGAATTGTATGAATATGAACAAGTCAACATTCAACCTCTGTTAGATGCCCCTGGTGATGGGGAGCCCCCCTCTTTAGGCTACCCATTCCCCACTGGACCACTCAAATGGGAAGGAGGATTTTCCTGGCAACTAGGCTAAATTTGCTCTTTATAATCTCCTCCTGTCTTTCTTGGTCCAGTCTTCTGGAGCCATGCAGAATAAGTAGATGGAAGTTTACAGCTCCTGGGAAAACCAAGTCTTTGAAACAACCATGTATTATTCACAATTATTAATCAGTAGAGTGAGGTCTTTGGGATAGCCCGTGGTCAAGCACATGCTAGAGTAAACTCCATGAGCTAATTTTCTCTTTTCTCTTCTTGAAACAGGGATCCAGCCTGACACCCAGGGTGCTCCCCAGCCTAGTATATCCAATTGGATACCATTTTCCCATCTCAGAACAGCTGGTCTCTGCCTGGTTTCCTCCCTACTTCATGCCCAATCCATGGAACATGCTGTCTTTCCCCAGCCCTCATCTGCGTCTGGAATGTGTTCCCACATGCAGCATTCCTTCCCCCCAACACCCTGAATGGGGCAATATCTGTGCCGGTTTCACATAGGAGAAGAAAGATCCCTCTCTGGGCTGACATCTACAGCGGCATTGCCAAGCAGCGGGCGAGGTGAACCAGATAGGACCCTAGGAGGAAGACAACTGAGCCCATTTACACAACATGAGTCTGACAGCTTTGAAAATCACCAGCCTCCTCCCCAAAACCACCACCTCAAAGCCTAGGAAGATGGCTTGGGACATCCCTTGGAGAAGTTATAGGTGGGCCCTTGGACAGAGAAGATTCTCAGAATAATAGTCCCATTATCTTTGGTGTTGTGAGTAGAAAGCCAGCCTCTGAGAAAGGAAAACCCAGGTTCAAGACCAAGCTCTCACACATACTGACTGTGTGACCCTGGGCACGTCAGTTAATTTCTCAATGTTCCAGGTAACTCTCTGCTGGATTGCAGAGAAGGTACTCATCTACATGTTAGAGGGATTTCCTTACTGGGCAGTCCCTACACCAATGAAATCACAAGTCTCATTTTTTAAAAATATTTTTAAAAAATCAATGTTTCCCTCCACTGTCCTAGACAAAGAAGCTAACTTGTTCTAACTTCTGTCCTTTGTGATAAAGCAAAAGGCTCAAGATGAGAAAGCACAAGAAAAGTTCAATCCCCAAAGAGAAGTTAATCCCCCCACCCTCCTCTACCCCAATGGTACATTTCACAAGGCCACAACAAGGGCTTCCTGAGGTGAAGTCAAGAATGTCCTTTGGACAAAGTGTGACTTAATGAATGTTTTATTCCATCCAGAAATATGGTCTCTAACCAGAATAAAAGGAGTGGAGGTAGATTGATTTGAGACTTGAGTCTTCCCAGTGGGACACTCCATTGGCCCAGATGGTGATCTTATGCTAGGAATGCTCCTGATATTTTAGTGGAAAAGCACCTGGGGTCTGCCATGAGACTTCTAAGTAATTAACAAAGTAATGCTTCCAGAAGTGGACTATTTTCAGGAGGGAGAAGTACGCCTCCAGAGAGGAAATGGATCTTACCCATCGTCCTCATCAGCTCATCTGGCTTGTGTTTACAGGACTCATAGCTGATGCTTTCTTTTTAAGCTATAAATTATTGGTCACAGTCCATCCCTGGGCAGAAGGACATCCCAGGTATTGGCTCCCACCTACACATATGCACCTTCATGGAAAAGATGGAAGGTGTGGTCTAAGTGGCCATCGCCCCTCTTCAGCAGTTAAATGAATTCACTTGATTCCCTGACTCAGTTCCTCCACAAATGAGCAGAGCAAAATGGAGTAGTAACTAGGAATCAAGAGACCCTGAATGGAACCTGGGCCCTGCAACCAACTCCCTATGACCCGTTGGGCAAGTCATTTCTTTTCTCCAGCTTCAGTTTCCTCATCTGCATAATGGGGTAATGGTATGTACCTCTCAGGGGTGCTATGAAGGTCAGATATAAAAGTGTTTTGCAAACTATAAAGTGCTTTGTGAAAATGAGACACTGAATGATTATACTGAACCACTTTGACTCCCTTCTAAGACAATGGAGGAATGGACAGCTTTGTCTACCCAAACAGCTCTCTGTGGAAAGAATTGTCAGTGCAAGAGACCTGGGTTCTAATCTGGACTCTGTCACTGCCTCTGTGTGGCCCTAGACAAGGCATCACATGTCTCTGGGCCTCCGTTTCTTTATCTAGTGGTTAGATTCTAGCCAATGGGGACAGAAGTCCTTGCCCTATCCTACCTACCTCATAGGAATGTTGCAAGACTCAAATGAATGGATAAATGGGTAGATGGATGAATAAATGAATTAAAGACCTCTATAAATGATATTATTGCTATTGTTGTTGTTATTAATATTTGTGTTATTATTATTTGAAGTGTTTATTGTTGTCTGGTTATGGCGGTCATCACACTACAACAGATTCAAAAAAACAGATGGAGGCATTAGAGTAACAGAGGAGGAAGGAGGTCACGTGACCAAAATTAGCCCTTAACTTAAGCATGGTGACCTAGAGAGCTCAGAATTGGTCCAAGGATATGCCCTATCAATCTTGCCATCAATATTGGCTAGCATAACACTATATTCAATAACCCTTCCCACGTAGGGGTGAATCCCTTCCAACTGGACTACCTAGAGCCCAGATAAAACCACAGTTTGTCCCTAGTCAGACCATATCTAGAGTACTCTGCTCCATTTGGGGTGCCATGCTTAGTAAAGCCAATGACAAGTTCAAATGCATTCAGAGGAAGCCAAGCAGGCCAGGGAAGGGATTGGAAATTAAGCAATACTGAGATTAGTTGAAGGACTAAAAGAGAGACTCAGTGGAGGACATAAGATCACAGGACCATAGATTTAGAACGGGAAGGGACCTCAGAGGCCGTCTAATTCAACTCCATTGTTTAACAGAAAAGGAAACTGAGGTCCGTAGAGATCAAGTGACCTACCTATGGTCATGATAAATGTCTTAAAGTATTCAAAGATGTCATGTGAAAGATGGATTTGATGTTTGATTTGGCCCCAGAGCAAAGAACTGGAAGTGATGTAGAAGGTGAAAAGAAGCTAATTTTGGCTTTATGTAAGGCAATGTTTGTTGTTGAAGAGGGGAATGGGGTGCTTCATAAGGTAGTGATCATCCCATGACCGGAGGGAGGTCTTCAGGTCAAGGTTGAATGACCACATGTCACAGATATAAAACTCTACATCCAGGTTAGACCAGATGTCCTCTGAGGTCCATTCCTACTACAAGAGATGCCAAAATTCCCAATAAAAAGAGCTATCCAAAAATGCAATAGGTTGATTCATGTATTATGAATCTCATCGTCATTGAAGGCATTGAAACAGAGACTAGATGACTTTCTTCAGGGGTGGAGCAGAAAGGAGTCATACATTGAGTAATAGTTTGAACTACATAATCTCTAAGGCCCCACCCAACTATGAGTCACTTTGGGCTTCTCAGGAGACTGATTCTTTAGTAACCAAGAACCACTGCTTCTCTCCTATATTATGATATTAACTAATACTTCTATGATACTTTAAAGTCACTTTCCATCCATGATCTCATTTGAATGTCACAATAACCCTATTAGGAGGGAATATGAATAGTGTTGTCCCTATTTTACAGATGACAAAATGGAGGCTCAAATGGTACATTGATTTGCCCATGGCCACACAGCTAATAAGTGGAAGAGTGAGAAATGGAACAAAAGTCATTCTGACTCCTACTCCAGTTCTCTATCCACTACACCATGCCGCCTTTCCTTTATGTAATGTGGCCGATCCAAAATTCTCAGAAACCATGTACTCCTCAAACTCATTTAATCACCTTTACCCCCTCTCTGATTGACTTCCTTAAGGAAGCAGAACTCAAACCCCGGACATAGTAAAACCTCCAAAAACTGTGACTTGTGTAGGAGAGATTGTAGGCTGGGTGAGAAGGCTGGAGGTGAAGAAGATCAGAGAAGGTAGAAGCCCAGTGACTCCATTGCCCAGCCCCAACTATAAGCATCATGGAGCAATGGAAAGAGAACTGAATTAAGATTTCAAATGCTAGTTCTGACTCTTAACTGGGCTTGTAACCTTAGACAAATTACTTCCTCTCCCTGACCTCAGTTTCCTCATCTATAAAATTAAGGCAGTGTTGAGTAGCACTTAGAGAAAGGGAGTCTGGAAGAACTGAGTTCCAATCTGACCTCAAACATTATGTACCCTGGGAAATCACCTTATCTCTTGGGGCTCAATTACTTCACCTATAAAATAAGAAGGAGTAGATTTGATGATCCCTATGGCCCTTCCAAGCTCTGAACCGGTGATCCTACAATCTTATGACTAAATAATCCCAATGGTCTTTTCCATTCCTATTAGTTCATGAATCTGTGAGCAGAAAGACCTGAGTTCAAATCCTTCCTCAGACCTTTGACAGCTATGTGGCCCTGGTCAACTCACTTAAACTCTTTCAACTTGTTTCTTCATCTGTAAAATGGGGATCATAGTACAGCATTGTTGTGAGGATCAAATGAATTAATATATGGAAGGTACTCCACAAATCTTAAAGCACTATGTCAGTGCTAATTATTGCTATTATTATTATTATTATTATTATTATTAATGACACTAGATAACCAAGGCTTTGTCTCCTGACAAACATTGTGAAACATTTAAAATTGTTTCCTGAAAGTCGCAGTTAAAATACACACATCACCTAGGAAACATTATTATAATAATAACTCACAATTCTGTCTTTATTTGTGTGAAAAGTGTTTTGTAATTATGTCCATATAATCTCTGGGTTCATCTTGGCAGGTAGACTTAGAATTATTTTCTATTGTCTGCAGTTATTTTAAATGGAATTCCTCTTTCTATCTCCTCCTGCTGGGTTTTGTTGGTAGTATGTAGAAATGCTGATGATTTATATGGATTTATTTTCTGTCTTGCAACTTTGCTGAAGTTCTTAATTGTTTCAAGTAGTTTTTTAGTTGATTCTCTAAGTATATCATCATATCATCTGCAAAGAATGATAGTTTTGTTTCTTCTTTGCCTACTTTTGTTCCTTCAATTTCTTTTTCTCATCTTATTGCTATAGTTAGTGTTTCCAGTACAATATTGAATGAGTGGTATTAATGGACATCCTTGCTACACTCCTGATCCTATTGGGAAGGCTTCAAATTTGTCCCTGTTAGAGATAATGATAGCTCTCTAGAACCTAACTTTTAAGAAAGGTTCCATTAGTTCCTATCCTTTCTAGTGTTTTTAATAGGAAGGGGTGTTGTATTTTGTCAAAGGCTTTTCCTGCATCTATTGATATAATCACGTAAGGTCATTTGCTATTGTTATGGATATGGTCAATCACGCTGATAGTTTTCCTAATATTGAACCAGTCCTGCATTCCTGGTATAAACCCCACCTGGTCATAGTGTGTGATCTTTGTGATATACTACTGGAATCTCCTTGCTAGTACTTTATTTAAAATGTTTGCATCAATATTCATTAAGGAAATTGGTCTATAGTTTTCTTTCTCCATTTTTGCTCTCCCTAGTTTAGGTGTCAAACCAT